GGAAGTTGTATATATAAACAGCAAACTTACTTCAGTAACTCAACCAAAAGCTTTTGTTCTCCCATTTCTTTTAAATAATGAACGTAATGACGCAAAGCCACATCTCTCGCCATTAACTCTCGAAAGAGGATTTCTGCAAAAAAAAAAAAAAGACTTTCTAGAAAATATTTAACTTATTTTGAAAAAAAAGAGAAAGAACTGGTGAGCAATGACAGATCACAATACATCTCACCTTTACTTAATGACTTGTTTAAATATATCAAGACCTGCAGTAGGAAAATGTAAAAGATCAGTTAATAAGCACAAGCTGTTCCTACTGATATAAATCATCATAAAGACATAGCAGTTCTTCCATATAGGGTATGTGAGAGATGTGCGGCTCACAGCAGTGATGAGGTTGCCATCATAAATAGCTACTGCTTCATCTAGCAGCAGAAGTTTGTCTTGCAGAGAGCGGAACTTTTCTAGGGAAAATTCCTGTAAAAGAATCATTTTAATTAGATGAGAAAAGCATATTTTCCCATTTACAGCCATTCAAAAGTAGCTATATAATCTGACGAAATCCTCATTGTAAGCAACATAAAAACATGTGACTAATATTTTGTTATATGACAGCAGATATTTTAATAATGGAAAGAAAGGGGCCTGCACCTACTGCTATTGAGAATTAAATAAATGGCTTTATTCTGCTATATCAGATCTCCTGACTTCACCTTTACACTGACTTTCTAATGTTGTATATCTAGCATTTATCAGTAAAAATACAGTACTTTCTATATAAAGCTCTTTGCTGCCCCCTACCCGTCTTTTCTGCATTCTCCTCACGGTTTCCTCAGGACTCAGGTCACTGACAAAATCCTATGGCATTTAGAAAACAAATTAAAACAAATTACTCAGTGGAAACTTTTGGCCAAACATACACTACCATTCAAAAGTCTGGGCTCAGTAAGTGTATTTTTCTGGGAGAAAATAATACTTTAATTCAGCAAGGATGCATTAAACTGATCAAAGTGAAAGTAAAGAATTGTAGAATGTTATATTTTCAAATAAATGTTGTTCTTTTGAACATTCTATACATCAAAGCATTCTGAAAAAAATAATAATAATTACACGGCACACTGTTTTTAACATTGATAATAAGAAATGTTCCAATCAAATCAGCATATTAGACTGATTTGAAGGATCATGTGACACTGAAGACTGGAGTAATGATGTTTAAAGGGGTCATATGATGTTGCTAAAAAGAACATTATGTTGTGTATTTGGTGTAATGCAATGTGTTTATGCGGTTTAAGGTTCAAAAAACATTATTTTCCACATACTGTACATTATTGTTTCTCCTCTATGCCCCACCTTTCTGAAACACGTCGATTTTTACAAAGCTCATCGGTCTGAAAAGCGAGGTGTGCTCTGATTGGGCAGCTATCCAGTGTGTTGTGATTGGCTGAATACCTCAAGCGTGTGACGGAAATGTTACGCCCCTTACCATACTGTGACGACATCTCCCGATCATGGATCAGCTCCAGGCATGACGAAGCGGATACAGTCCTCTTTTGGAAGGCCAAACAAAGAAGTTTCGCTTTCACAACGAAACACACAGCATCTCCACGACATGGCGGCGGCTACAACAATACTACAGCAAGAATAAAAGTAAAGCCTTCTTTCTTTGCGTGAACATTTGGGCGGTGTTATGCAAATCTTCCCACACAGTGACGAGGCGTTTTAGGAGGGTGTGGTTGACTCTTAACTTTTATAAAGAATATCTCTTTGGATTTGAGACTTAAGTCTTTGCAACTTTACAGATCTTCTTTATGCACCAAGAGCTTGTAACACTCCAAAGAGAAAGGAAAAATTGAAATCGCATCATATGACCCTTTTAAAATTCAGCTTTGTCATAGCAGGAATAAATCATATTTTTAAATATATTCAAATACAAAACAGTCATTTTAAATTGTAAAAATACTTCAAAATATTACTATTTTACTGTATTTTTGCTCAAATAAATGAAGCTTTGAAGAACAAAAACATTTACATTTAGTCATTTAGCAGACGCTTTTTTCCAAAGCGACTTACAAATGAGGACAATGGAAGTGATCAAAATCAACAAAAGAGCAATGATATGAGCAATGCTATGACAAGTCACAGTTAGCCTAACGCAGTACATGTAGCAAGGTTTTTTTGTTGTTGTTTAAATTATATAATAAATAAAAAGAAAACAGATGGAATAGAAAAAGAATAGAGCAAGCTAGTGTTAGAGGTAAATAAGTCTGCAGAAAGCATAAGTCTTCTGAAAACATTTTCAGTCGCGGGACATTTTACAAATCAAAGTAAGTGTACGAGTTTCACTAGCGCTCCACAGGCTGGTGTTCTCCGTCTTTCTTCAACATTAAAAATCTTAACCCCAAATGTTTGAACAGTGGTGTAAACAAACATATCCATATGTGTTACCTTTCCATCTGACTTGGGCTTTCTCAACTCAGGTGCGTATGTTCTAACAGATGTATCGCTAAAAGCTAGAAAAGAGTGAACAAACACACTTAATTCAAACAAATGAGAAATAGGCTTAAATCATTCTAAATGCTTCAATGACTTGAACTTACACTCGGAGAAGGACTGGAAAGGTTTACTCTTTGCTGAAGGAATATAAACAGAGTCAGATTGGTGAGTCTAAAATGATTGAACTAAAACGTACAAGAACTCTTCACTATAGATTACCTTTAAACAGGGAGCTCAGGGAGTATCCAGACCCCTGTTTGGACAGTGACGGAGTCCTGTCTATTTTGGGAAAGCTCTGCTCGCTGCCTGAGCGGATACTGGAGGCGGTTTCCTTCACCGACCAAGAGATGCCTACCCACAAACAAAAACTGATGAGCATCCAGATGAAAGACAGACAGTAAAGACAGTAAGAGTGTAGGGAAAGGACTGCATACTTCCCACAGATTCCCCACTCCAGCTGACTCTCTCAACGTCATCCTCATCCTCATCCTCCTCATCCACCAGGATGCTGTTCACGGTTCGCTTGGACTCTTTCAGCTGGGAAATAACAACACAATGTAGTCTAAATCAGAGCTTTTTAAACTGAGGGCCACACAGTGGTTCTAGAGAAAATGTGACGACAATGTGAGAGATATATATACAATAAATATTGTACAAAGGATATTGACTAAGAATAGGTCTCTAATCTTTCCTTTCTTACCATGTACATAATGTTTAAAATCAGGCCTATGTGTTGAATCTTTCTAAAGAGTTTCTCTTTGCCAATGTCTCCTTTAATTTAGCCAGTTTAATTCAATTCCTTTAATTTACTATTTTCAGTAAAGCTGCCACTTAAAAACATACAAAACAACTGACCTGATTTGAAAAAAAAAACGTTTCCCATGTTCTAATACAAATTATATGGTTAATTAAATATGAAAAGCAAAATTTTGCTTTGGATCCGTTCTAACAAAAAGCAAACTATTTAATTTCGCGAAGACGACGTTGTCTTCATAATATTTAACCGCATAATACGGTTTTAGGACTGAATGGACCATAAGGTGCAGTTATTCTCCACTGTCATACCGCTGAGGTAAACGGCCGTTGGACTGCATAGAGTTCAATAGAAACACAATGAACTTACCCGTGAAAACTCGTCGTCTTCATCGTCAAATGTGAACGCTTTAAATTTGGAGCTGTTCCAGTACTCATCATCCTCTGGTTTGGCCCGTGACATCTGAAAAACATACACAATGTAGACTCGAAGCAAGCGGTGGGCTGCAGGTGCCTTGATGTGATTCATCTGATCTGTCCCAGAAGCCCTCAGCTACAGCACACAGCCACTCCATGCAGGCGAGTCTGTATTGAGCAATATGCTGCGGTCATCTTAAACCGCCACTATGGCATTTGAGATTCGCTAAGATTGTCATTTGTAAGAAGTATCTATTTCATATGCATCGATATTATTTTGCTGCTTGGACCATGACAAAAATAAAGAGCAATATGATTTTATAACAGACTTACCTTGGAAATATTACAGTGAAAATCGACTCATGAAACGTCAGATTTCTTTCCTACTACTTCCTGTTTTAAACACGTCGCCAAAATAAAAGCCCTACAAACGCTGATTTTTCTTTCCTGCTGTGTTTTAGATACAAGTTATGTAGTATGTATTACAACTTAGTCAATAGCGAATTAGCTATATGATAATACAAAATTTAAAAACTAATGTAAAAACGCAACTTTTTGAACAAATATTGTCTTTTACATTACACACCTGATTTCAGGTATTGTTGCCTATTTTGTTGTCAGTAATTCATGCCAACTTTAAAATGAAATCGTTAAACTTGATTTTTAATTTAATATTTATATAATTTAAATATATAGTTCTGTACACGTTATTATGCTGCGCATCATTTCCCACTCTCTGCATCCGTCTCTATTATATTTTGTATATTCAAATCTAATCTTAATAAAGTATTGTATGTTGGTAATTAACTAGTGAAATACAGCGTCATCCCAAAGATTTCGTAATTGCAATTAAAGTCATACCAATGCATCAAACAGTCAAATAACATACTCCAATTCTTGACCAATTCTAAAGTGATATCGGTTAGAAAATAAACAGCCAGAAGCAGTGTTTTGCACCCATTAAGAGATAAAAATGTGTTACAAAAAAAAGGGTAATCAGTGACTCTTAATCATTCTCAAATGATTACTTACATTTAAAACAGAAACTTTCCAAAAATGTAATTGAACTTGGAGGTTTATGAAATTCTTAGAAACTGTTCAGACCACTTAAATCTAATAAATAATTCAAAACACCCAAACTGCCAAAAGGAAATACATTTTAAAAACACAGGTATTTACTCTTAAGTGTCAGTATTTTCAGTAGTTTTTCCCCATAAGAAGTGTACACAGTTAATATATGTATGTGTGTGTGTTAATTTTGACTCGAAATTCCAAACAATTCTTTCCATGTAGATACAAATGAGTAAGAGCAGCATTTTCCCAAAACGCACAAATTCAACAAAAAAAAGCACGACAGGTACTCTTTTATTGTTTGTTCAAATTTATGTGGCTAACAAGTCAATAATTACAAAGATTTCAACCTGTGATTCTTTTTTTCTTTTAAAGTAAAAGCAGTAGTGTTTTGAGGATACACTTCCATCTGATGAAGTGGACAAGTGAAGTATGGGGGAGAAAAAGGAGGTACAGGAAAAACCATTCACACAAAATCATATCCTTAGACTAAAAACGTGTGCAAGTGTCTTACAGTGTTTCAGAAGGGTGGGGGGAAAACAATACATTACCGTCAGCCTCGTCAAAACCACTGAAATGCTTTAGCGGACAGTTTATTACGGAAACGAAAGTTGGCACTGAAGGCACACTAGAGTGATAATGGATATGCCTGCGGATCTTAAGCATGTCAACAAACAAACTCATATCAGCGTCCTGATATCAAACATCATAAACCAGAATCAGAGCATGGCTATGGTGAGATAACCTTATCACATATATTTTTTTTTAACTTTCATTTTTAAATAGAGCACACAAAGCAGCAGTAGCAGCTTAAGAGGAACTACAGAAATCCTATGAATAGTAGCTGTGTGCCGGTCTCCTTTGTATTTTTATTAAAACACTTATCTATATGTAAAGTCTTCCTTTTTGTTGCTTTCTTTTTTGTGATAAGCTGAACTAGATATTTTTGTGGGAAACATCTAAGTTAAAACATGAATATTATAAAGGCTGGTTTAAATGCAGAACTTGAGAGAGAAAGAGAAATTACATAACAATAAAAGTGCCCTCTGGTTTGGCTTTAAACCCCCGAAGTCTCTATCACCGATTTATTGCTCATATGAGACGTTTTCACCGGTCCGTGACGAATCATGTTACTGGTCCAAGAATGTCACAGTTCTATATCGTCCTCAGTTTCTTTCATCCCGATACGCTTCTCTCTTCGGCCTCCTTGATGAGTGTTCCTGATAATATACATTTAAAAACAGCATAAGAAGTCTCTTTTCCCATCAATTCGGTACTTTGAAGGGAAGCTAAGAATCCAGAAGCAATTCTGACACAGCAGATGTAATGCATGTTCATTTACTAAAGTAAATAATAATTAAAAAAAAAAAACTTGCAGGAGCATGGCATGATATTCAGATTTAAAATAAAATGAAAATCCATCATACTGCTAATCTGACCCAGTTAGTGTAATACCATGACATTTCCATCAGGGGACAGGCTTTTATGGTTTTTTTTCTTTTCTTTTGGTGGCTTCGCCTGTGCCTGTCAGCACACACCCATCACGCTGCTCTTGTGGCAGTGTCTACCCAGCAGCAGGATTTGGGGTAAACCTTTGGCCCTTGTGGTGGATGAGCAGGGTAACTTTTTGTAAGAGTCTTGGCACTTCTTAGTGAGTCCTAGTAGAGCAGATGGATATGGAAGGGCATGTCTAGGGTGTGCGCTGGGTGAAAAAAAGGGAGCTGTCCGTTTTCAGCCGTCCAGGGATTGATCCAGGCTGTCCAGAGTGAGCTGACTGCGGTGGGGAGAGTTGGGGCTCGGGGGGCTGCTGGGGTTGGAGCTGTTGGAGGGGGTGGAATGTTTGGTTGAGTCAGAGTCGGGCTGCAAGGATAAAAAAATAAAAAAAGGATAAAGAAACAATTAACAGATCAGTTGCTTGTTGTCTAGATGGTTTTTAAAATTTTGCACAGTATACATGCATTTAGGCCGAAGTGAGTGTTTACAGCAGTATTATTATTGTTAACTAAAATGTTTTCTGCATCTAAAATAAAGCTGAAATAAAATGTAAATATTATCGAAAACTGAATTAAGTTCAAGTTGAAGTATTATGATTACTAAACAAAAATGGAATTAGAACAAGAAATGTATTAAATCTTTAAAATTGTTAAAGTATTAAGATTAAATCAATAGAAATAAAGATAAATAGTAAAGCTGAATATTGAGAAAAAAAAAAAAAAAAAAACAGAAAAGCACATAAAATTACTAAATTTCAAACTACAAGTTGAAGTATTAATATTACTAAAACTGAAATAAAAACATTTAAATTTAAATATTGGGGAGAAAAGCAATACATTTACTTTGTAAATAAAATTGTATAAATTAAAATGAATACTAAAAAAACACAAAGAAAAGCTAATTCAAAATATTAATACATACTATAATGTCATATGAATAAATGAAAGCTAAATAGAAAAATAAAAAACAATTAACACAAAGTTACCAACTCTTATACGAAACGTCAAATGAAAAAAGAAAGCAAATTCAAAATACTATAATAGTATATACATAATACTAAATTAAAAACAAATAACAGCTAAACAGGAGAAAAAAAAAACAAGAACATACAATTAATAAATCTTATATTAAAATTAAAACATAAATTGATATATATATATATATATAAATAATTGATAAATAATAATAAATTATATAATATACTATGAAATACTAAAAGAATACATTTATACAACAAAAATAACACTAGTTTACAGCTGTAGCAGGTTTTACTGTGAGAACTGGGGCAGTTATTACAGACCACAAAATCAGGACACAAGAAAATGGCCAAAAGCACCTCAAAGCTCCTTTAACCATCCATCATGTATCTCGAGAAGCTTTCAAAATGTGGGGCGAATGAAATAAAACCATATTTGACATCCCGGGGGAGGTCATTAAGGTAGATGATAGATGTTTTTACCTCTCTCTCAAAGTCTTGATCTTGATCAGAAATACTGCGAGATGACCCTGCTCCTCCAAAATCTCCTCCTCCTTTAAATAATGTATACATTTCAGGCATTTAGACAATTTTAGGTGTGTATCAGCTTGTCTGCGTGTATAAAGAGCGGCACCCACCTGAGGCAGTGCGGGTGATGTGGGTCTTACTCCTCTGTTGCCGTGAAATGCTGGACAGAGGCCGGGGCTTGTCTTTAGACAGGTCGTCCTGAGAAGAGGGCATCACACTCTGCAGCAGAGGAACAAGAAGTCAGGCACATACAGAGTACACCACAGTCATGCACTTGTGTAATAAGAGGCATGTACACACACCTTTTGACTTTCTTTTAAACTATTGTTAAAACAAACATTTGGTTTGGGTAATACGTTTCATGAACAAATAATTTATTTATTTGCTTGCTATAAACCCGAGAATACAACATTTAGTCTTTTTTCAAGGAATGTTTTGGATTAATTATATGTCAACCTCAATCAACAGCATTTTTTAGCATTATTTGGAATAGAGGTGTCACAATATACCGGTATTGACCATAATCGTGATGTTTAAAAAATGTAATATTGATATGTTAGGACTACATATGATAGTAGTATCGCGCAAATAACACAGCTAGTTGCCACTCCAACACACACACACGAAAAAAACAAAAAAGACAACGATGCAGTTTTTTTTAATTGTTAACCACAAGTATTTAAGTATTCACAAGTAGTCATTTATTAATTTAAATAAAGCTGGGATCAAATAAAAATAAATAATGTTTGAGTTGAAGTACTAAAATTACTACATAATTTTGACTGAAATATAAATTACTGAAATATAAATTAAAAGTAAATAAATATATTTAAAAAAAAAGGCAAACGCACAAAATTACTAAAATCTATAAGCTAAAATGAAAATAATCTTTTTTTTAGTGTGATTCATCAGTCACAAAATAAACAAAAAAGTTAGAAATTAATTTGATTAACTTTTCCCTCCAAAAATTTCAATAGATATAATAATATAGGTACTGTAAATTCTTTTAAACAAAAGAAATGTGTAGTGAAAATCTGATATTGTGACAGCCCTAATCTGGAAATAATTTCGCATTGAGCAATTGTATCACACTAGTCTCACGCTGAAGTATGAAGTTTCAGTTTAGTGGCAATCTGTTCAAAGTGGTGTATATTTTAATGTTTATTATCATGCCTCACTTTCATGGTAAGAGCCTTACTGTAACTGCTAGTTTACTACAACAGTGTTTTTCAAATTCAAATCACACACAAACATTAGTAAAACTGTTGATTTTACTTTTTTTTTTTTACTTTAAACATTGCATTTTTTAAATATGACTATATATTTTCAGATTTTAAAAGTTCA